AGGGAAGGGGGGGTTTCGTCGAGTAGAACACGTCTAACATGCTTTATCGAAGATCTTTCCTTCTTTCTTTCTTTCTCCTTTCTCTATCATACACAATCCCTCCATGCTTCTTATAATATGAATGGGACCCTTCAAAAAAAAACAAGGCTGGGGGGCGGTGATGAGGGGGAACAAACAAGAGCATTCAAAAAAACAAATTTAACTCTTTGCAAACGAAATTGCAGATGATAATCGTATGTAAGGATATCATAGCACGCTTGACTTGCTTTTGCTATGCCTTGCGCCTCGTTTCACTTACGCCTTTCCAAAAAATTAAAAATAAAAAGAATTATTAAAAAAAAAAAAAATAAGTTGCGAAAACAAGGCACTGAGATCCCGAGGCAGAACAAGGCTGAATCCAAGCTAACAAGCTCAGGAAGGAAATAACCTTAAGGAAACCCAAAGGGAGGAAACATTGATGAGGTTGTTGTACGTTGAGAATAGAAATGCAGAATATATGCACTCAAATAGAGAAGATAAGGAATGAAGAAGTCACGCATAGATCTTTGGTTGTCGGTCGCTGGCTCTTCGGCACATTTCTTTCATACATGTACGGCGTTGTTGGCGCAGGAGAAGCTGCCACCAGCGGCACCATCATCTTCGCTGATCGCTCTGCCGGAGACGTAGAGGCCGAGTCCGCACTGCAAGGGTTTTCTTTGTTAGACACGGTAGACTGAGAGTAGGGGGCGCCTGGGGAGAAAAGGGGGGGTTAGTTGTGGGGGGGTTTTTCGGAGGATCACGTACAATAAGTGCTCCGGATAGGACGCAGAAGACGTTGAGGAGGGTCAGGAATATCTTTCCAGGGCTGGCGAAGTACCGGCCTCTGTTTAGGAAGAGCCAGAACATACCGTTCACACCGACTACGGTTTTTGCGTTGGCTTGTTTAGTTCATTGGCTGCGGAGGAGGGGAGGTGGAAGAAGAAAAAGGGGAAGGGGTCAGAGTTGAGCTTACAGGTAAACCAGCTTGCGAAGAGGGCGGTCTGTGGTGCGGGGGATGGGACATTAGTTATTTTGACCAGTTTCCCTCTTTTGTTTGATTTTGATTTTAACCGGCAAAAGGGAGGTGGGGAGGGTCGTTAGCAAGAACTTACAATCAAGCTGAGAAGATTGTTGAAGACGGGAATAGCTTGCGCGATGATCCAGGCGACAACCCAGAGCCCGCCGACGAGGCCAACCCAGGTCCCAATCGAGAGCCAGCTCCGTTTAGACATGTGATTTGTTCCGCGGAATATTCGCACGTAAAGGTATTTGCATGCAACGTGCCCGTTAATGACACCGGCGATGACGATCTATTAATAGTTTTGAACATTGTTAAGTACGGGTTTTCATGCTTCAAGAACTGGGATTTTTTTGTCTTCTTTCTGGGTGGAACAGGGGAGAGAAAACATACAGTCGGGCAAGCAATCCCGTATGCAATTTTGCTGATGAGGGGTCCCGTTGAGTTCAAGGCGGGTGATGTAACATTTTTTCCCACATAACGATAGATGACGACGGCCGTAGTGGTGTAGAAGGTGGTGTTGGTTATTTGGAGTGTTAGCAGGGATTTGGTATAATCACGGGGATCCTTAAGCTCAGATGCAAATCCGAAAAATGCGGCGTGGCCAGCTGATTGTATGTTGTTGTTAGATTTATTATCGATGAAAACAGGATTGCATGAGAATACTGGCAGGCGGAGAAAGGGGGGAAGCATACAATAGGCAAAAATGATATTGCTGACAGCCAGGAATCCGCGGTAAAGATTGGTCTGGACGACCGCATCAACAGCATTTCCAGAGGATCGTACGCCAACAGCTATCATCGTGAGCATGACGGCGCTAAAAATGCTCAGGAATGCTGGAGCCCGGGTTAAAGATTAGCCAACAATTTGGGTCCGTATGACATGATTGTTAAACAGACTTGCTGAAAGATGAGGCAAGGGAGAACCCACAAACAATAGAAAGCCAGGAGACTTTCGCCAAGGTCCGTGGTAGTGTCAGGACAAGTGAAACAATCATCCCCACAATGCCAAATATAATGCTGCAGGCTCCGTGATTGGTGAGGGTGTTCATCATTACGACGAACGTAAGGATATGGCTTCCCATGATGAAGACGAGGAATAGGAGTAGTCCAGCTCCTAACAGCTCGCGCCCGAATCTTCCCAAAATAATCTCACCGGCGTCAGCCATACTGTGGACTTGCGGGTATGCAAGCTTGAATTGGCCAATGGTGTATCCAGTGTATGTCGACAACAATCCAATGAACAGGAGAACAATAATTGCCCTGCAACACAAGGCGAGAAGAGAATTAGACATGTGCCACATTAGCAGTTGTCCTAGGGTTTGACTCACGGGACTAATCCCAATGCTGCAACAGCAGATGGAAGAGCCAGAATGCCCAGAGACATAGTTTCGGCGATCATAACTGCATAGAAAAACATCAATAAATCTTTTCTCTACCCACGAATTCCCCTTTTTTTCAAGAAAAAAAAGTGAATGTAGGTCCATACGTAGTCCACATTGCCTAGATCGAAATACGAATTAGTGCCAATATAATGGCTGGGTATCTTCAACCATACGACGGGCGCAAGGAAGATCGAAAAACATACCACCAAGTCAAGGTTTTATATTTCACATCAGCCGAATCCTCGTTTCCGAAGGGATCAACATGTTTGGACTCGGCATTTTTCTCATATGGAGGAAGTGAATTCGAATTTTCAAGATGGACCTTCTCTTCATCTTCGACTTTGTCTAGGACATCACGTTGTTGCTGGCCATCATATTCCGAATGAACCTCCTCGCCCTCCAGGGTGATCGCCATCGCTCCTTAACCTAGCCTCGACAGCACAGAAGGCGTTGAGGTTATAAGAGAGCGTCGACAAAGCCGTTATGGCAATACAGTGATAATGGATATTCTTAATTCTTCTAGTATTATAGCATACGACTTGTTTGGCGATGTAGAAAAGGGGCAAAAGGGAAAAAAACATAAAATGAAAGAGTAAGAGAAAGAGAGATGTGAATTCCAGAGCAAAGAAGAGGCGCGGGGGGGGGGGGGAAAATAACCGTTTAGAAATATTGGTTTGGCAGCCAAACTCCCCTGGTGTTCCCTTGGAACGAGTTGAAGTAGTTCCTCAGAATCCGGGAACCGAGGCACTGCTGCGCAATAGTGGATGGGCATTTAGCATTCTCCCGGGTCCCCAGTTTCGTAACCATAGAGTCCAAGCAGAGTTCGAGATAAAAACCCTCTCTCAGTTGAGGGTCACATCTGCTTGAAGCGGAGAGGGGACCCGCTAAAAAATTAATAACCCCGTCCTCGCCGCCTCGCCTTCGCCTCTTCCTTCGCCCCCTTTCGCCTCTTCCCGCAAGACCTCCTCATACTCCTTGTTTTTTTCTGCGACAACAAATCACCCAAGCTCCACGTCAAGTTCCAGTCCTGCATGCACCAGTTGACAATTACCGGGAAACAGTAGCATGAATAGCCACCCGGTTTGCTTGATGGGTTGTAGGCCTATATGAAACTACTACTAATAATAACCAATTGGGCTTGAAGGTTGAAGTTGGCGATAGACTTATTTTGTGGTGATGATCACGGGAGCTGGGAGCTTGGAGCTTGGAGCTTGGCAGGACGGCAGGACGGCAGGAGCGGCAGGAGCGGCGATCGGCATGAGGAGGCTGGGAACAAGCTTCGCCAAGACGCCCTTAGTGCCCCAGGATGACATAAAAATAGCCCCCGATTTGCCAGGGAAGCAATGAGAGATTCTCGATACTGTTGTTACCCAGAGGGCGGGGGGAGAGCGGCACTTCTTGTCGATTTGCGGTATGGGCCAACTGTAGAATGCCCAGGTGGTCCTGAATTAGGCTCAATGGAGAAGGTTGAGACAGGCCGTCTTAGCTTGTTCGTGTGACTCGCAGCTTCGTCGAACCTCAGGGACCGAGTTTGCTGGCTGATGACATCCGCACTGCCACTCTGTGAGACTGGAATATATATATATATATATATATATATATATATATATATATGCGGAGGCATTTTCCGTGGAGTGTGAGCCTCGCAATCGTTGGTTGTAATTATTATCAAACGTGGTATGTTTTTTGGTTGTACGCCGCCACGCCTGGCTCTCGTCATCAGAAAGCGATGATCGTGATGCTGCCTATAGGAGGTGCTCATTTGGTTTGCTAGCTTTACTGGATCTGTGTTCGTTCCCCTTTGGCGAACTGATACATATTTGGATATAGTTATTGCTTTGCATAGTTAGATTTGTGATGTGATGTAGGGATGCTAAGCTTCTCGTTTAATGCGCTTAACATTCGGATATAGCTACCCTTTGTTTACAGTGCGGCAGGAAAACAGCGCCAGCGCCCAGCGCCGGTCTTCTCTGGTAAGCTGCCGCTTCAAAACAAGTTTCCGACAACAAATTTCCAACAACCAACATCTTACGATGAGTTAATAATAAAACAAGATGTTGTGGAGAAAAAGGCTTAAGCTGGGTAGATATGTCATCTCCCCAGATACGAAATCGGCTACAGACGGCCTGTCAAAGCTACTGAATAATCTTGTGCATGCTGCACATACATACATACATGCATGCATGCATACTCCCGTAAAAATTTGAGTTAAACGGAGCCCTGGTTAACCAGCCACCACCAAACACCGAAATCGCTTAATCAAATGCCGAGATCGCTTTTTCACTTATCTTTTATCCAAAACAAGTGTCAAAATCCATGACGTTTTATCATTAACCTACTCCTCGCCTATACCACGGCAGCACGCGAAAGTTGTTGCAGCAACGGATGTTCGTTGGGAGATTGCCCCGGAAAAGTGATATCTTGTGGTGACTTGATTGGAACCAGATAAGATGGAAACCTGGGGAACTGGAATGGAAAACCGTCGTTGAAGCAACCAGGGAAAGCGAAACAGTTTAAATATAAAACTGAGATATCTGGCTTTGCCATTAAATACAACACCGAGTACCTACGGTTCCGTTCGCACTAAATCAATCTGACAGATCTCTCTCTCTCTCTCTCTCCCCCGTTCCTCGATCTTGCCATACGTATAAAGCGAACTTCCCATCTTGCTAACGGTTTCCCCGAGATAGAAAATCTGAACCAGAAGTTTATTTTTCTCTCCGCATTAGCCGAATCCAGCGGTGAGTGATTAAGCGCCAACAAAAAAAAAAATGTTGGGAGTTATATATAAAGCGGCCGTTCAAGCAAAATTTGGATTTTAACGATTGGATATGCCGCAAAACGACCCTAACTCGATTAAACTTTCGTTCCCCCAATATCTTAAAACCAACATCCCGATATCCTCCCGGCCGTCAGGAATTGGAGAGCTGGGTTGATCTCTCGTCCCCCATTGGCCTCCTCCAACCCTGGTAACTTCGTTTGGAGTCCATAGTTCCACCCTTCAATCCGTGTCTGTTGAGCGGAAGAACCATCGTAGATATATCTCAGTGGTCAAAGTTGCACGTCAAGGTAACACGCAACGTTGCGATATCGGAGACATGCGTCATTTCCTTGATATCACCATCCGACTAGTCAATTAGCTTTCAAGGTCTAAAATACGAGCTGGCTCAAGGGACCTGGTTTATTTTGGGGCCGGGGGGGCCAGGGGGGTGTGTGTGGGGGGGGGGGGAAGGGGGGGGGGAAGGGGGCCGCAAAATGACAAAATCATGGGATATATAAACGACCTGTCAGATTGGAGCCTAAATAAAATTATAAGGGGTTCATATATGTGCTACAAGTCCAATGAGCGTCCAATGCAACAGAAGAAAATAGAATATACAACACTTCGCTCTCTGCGGGGGAAGTGGGTGGGGTGTGGTGAGTGGCGCTATGAATAGGTCTGGCCCCCTTCCAACCAGGGAAAGCGGTGGAGAGTATCCCCGGAGCAACCGCCAAGGGTTCCTCCGCGTAGCTACGCCACGTGACCAGGTGCTCCCCCGGGAGAATCGCTCGGGGAAAAGGCCAACGCCCGTTCTCACACAGCTCCCATTGCTCCAGTGCCTTAACTACATTCATTCATTCATTCATTCATTCATTCATTCATTAAATTCAGTCATTAAATTCAGTCATATAGTTATACGCCATGGAAAGGTCAACATCGTGTAGCTCCAACACCCCAGCGTCAAGGGATATCATATATAACCATTACCAGAAACCCCCCCCCGCCCCCCAAATCTCGTACAGCGCTCACGGAAGGAATCGTGTTTCGCATGAATTGAGTACGCCAAAATAAATGCGTTGGCAATTCAAAGTACCGGGATGTCCTTTAATTGCTTGCCCGTTGGCCGTAGACGAAGTGGAATACAGTGTAGAGGTGGTTCTTGGGGTTGCGGAATTCCTTTCGTACCGCGTCACACAATAGCTGGGTCTCTTTTAGGTCCCAGCCAAGAATACGGGTGAAAAGGGCGAATGTAAACGATTCGATACAGCTGCACATGTGTTCCATCTGGAATGCGCCGATCTCTTTGAGTTTGGGATCTTTCGGCCATGTTCCCATTGGGACCTGGGAGAAATATAATTAGTATATATCTCTTGCAGCAGAATTATAAAGAATTTTTTTTTTTTTTTAAAAAAAAAAAAAAGGAAACATTGGACTGAATATTTATATATATACCTTGTATATATCGTCCTCAACATTCTTAAAACCGGCCTTGATCAAGTTCCCCTTCTGCTCAGAGGCAGAATTTAGCCTCTTTCCGAACTTTGTACTCGCTTCATCAGCCAGGGTTTGCCAGCGGAGTGTGTTGGGGCATTTCTGTAGCGTCGGATCGTCGTCGGAGTGAACCCACGCTTCATATTCTTGCATCTCAATCCACCCGCCAGGTTTCAGATTGTCCAATATGCGGCCATATAATTTGTTCCAATCCGCTATGCTCCCTCCCATTCCTCGCCCGTGGATAAAATCAAACGCTTCCTCTGGAGGATAAACCCACTCGCTCTCGACATCGTCGACATAAAACTTGCAGTTGGGAGGAATCCAGGACGGTTGAATGGGACTCAAGTCGTTTCCGATCACCGTGGTGGATTGAAATTCGTCGGCAAAATCAATGGCCCAAATCCCCGTTGCCGTCCCAAAATCTAACACTCTTTCAGGATGCGCGGTAATGGGTGCGCGGAAGAGTTGGCCGCCGAGTGTAAGACGGAATATGTGGTGATGGAGATCCAGCCGCTCCTGTTCCGCTTCGTCATTCGGTAGTAGGTACGATCCGCTGTGGTAGCCATGGTATCTTCTTCCATTTTCTACGCGCCGGGATTGATGGTTAGTTTGAGCAGCGAGGCTAGTTAGGGTTGAAGGGGGCAAATAACCATATCGGTATTCTAGGGTCGAAGAAGATATGGAAGTTCCAAAGGATGATCCTCCCACTGTGGCACTGATAGAGTTGGTATCAAAATCTGTCTGTTTACGATATCAGTTTAAGCTTTGATGAGGATGAAGGAAAGTTTTTTGTTACATCTATATCAATCCCTTCGCTAGGATTCGGTGCACACGGTTGCACAATTGTCCTCCCTGAGGGTTGGTTTGACATTATTCTTCTGGGGATTTATAAAGTGCAAAGCAAAAATATAAATGGTACATCCGGTAATTATCACAAGCAATTCGATTGTGGTATATCTGATGTCAACCACGCGGGTCTCTCAGGATATTGTTAGACTTTGGGTGTTGGCACCCTTGGACCTGGGGAACCGCCAGATTTTTGTACGAAACCTCCCACCATCGCTTGGAGGTTGGGGGGTCAAGATTCTCTTTGTGCTGCCACGCAGCACAGAGTTCACCGGCTTTCTTTTAGCCATAGTGCTAAAGCGGACCAGGATCAGCTCAATCACCATGGCCCCTTTCTACATACGGCATTAGCACCCTGGATTTGAACGTTCTAAAATCGCGGATATCGGAAGGGGAAAACAGTTAGTAAGAATGAGTGGTTCTAAAGTTATCTTCGGCGGATGACAGCCCGCATCCCGTGTCTAGTGTGTCTGCTACTGTCTGCTGAAGTGTGGAACATGCATAAAGGGTTGCACTAGGATTATTCCAAAGCCTTTGATTTTCATTTGAGACGAAGAATGAGGAAACTCTGGCAGTGCAAAATAGTCAGGCAGGTTATTCTTCTGAAAATCACTTACTCCATGCGTCTCCTTTCAATACTTCCTTGGTTCGGAAGAGCTGAATCCAGTTTTCATTGTAGTCAAACATGGAAATGATAACTTCGAACCATGGCCCCTGGATTGGCTGCTCCTTTAAAGATTCTGGAACATCTGGATGTCTATTCACAGGCTAACGAATATTTCTCAGCGGCGCGAACGTGGCCGGCCCGCAGTAAAGTGGAGCCGCCTCAGGCAAAATCAACAGTCCCAAGGCTGCTATATACCCCACCCACATAGCGTCCAGAAAGGCTTCAACTTGACGAACAGAGCTCCTCCGGCTTGAACCCCCGAGAAAGCAACCACAGAAACCGGCGTGAAATCGCCACGCAACCAAATCTGTTGGGTCGACGCTGTGGTGTGAAAGGGAGGGCGCAGATCCACCACCCCGGTTCCAAACCACACGGGCTTTTCTCTCCACTGTGGCAGATGGTGCAATAGCGGTGGCGTCCCTTGGCTTTCGTCAATACCATTTCAGGCAACATGGAAGCTTGTAGCCGAACAGTCCAAAGTTCTGAGTTCCAACTTCCAGACCAGGGCTTCGCTACTTCAGCCACAAGATCATTTCCCCACAACATCTCATGATGACATGATACTAAAAGGTTGATAGCCACCTCCCCCAAAATATGGCTGCTTGGTGCAAATTGTTATTCACATCATTATTCTATTTTACCCACAGTGTAGTAAGCAATAATGACTCACATGAGATGAGCATGACATTGCAGACCTTCCACCATTTCCCAGACGCAGAATGAAGGTACGGCATCAGTTGAAAGAAGTCTCTTCTCCTGTTTATGTTGAGCATTGCATGATCCTGGTGTAGTGTGTGAAAAAGATATCTCAGATTTGTTGATGAGTGAGAAAAGCCTCCATGGCTAGTAACCGTATTATCTCTTGTGGTTGAGCACGGAGATCAAAAGGATCGCCAGATATGACATTAAATAGGCTGTTCAATCCGGCTTATTTCTTCCACATGCAAAACACCAGCAAAACAATTTCACGCATTACCAGTTGGCAGTGGATGCAAGTTCTCACCTAGCAACTGGATTATAGAAAGCAAAATAGAAATAGATACCCGTATTGTAATGGGCAGGCTCCTGGCCGCCGAATACCTGCTCCAAGCAGAGAGAGCCATTCTTGCAGAGAACGAACACATATGTAACACATATATCCCTCATTCAAATTGTGAATAGGGGAAGAGACGTTTAACATTAGAATTGATCGGTGTTTATTCATGAAGGGAGGATCAAGGGCGACGGGAAAGAATAAAAGAGAAGATAAGGATGAGCTACTGAGGTAAGAATGTTTGTTGACAGTGAATTTGTTTCCTGGCTAAACATCTGGCCAAGCTGCGGCACACATTAAACCAGGTTAAAGCACGTTGACTTCTCATTAATTAATAATAGCAACAGCTACGTAGATCAATATAATATGAACATCTCAGATGTTAAGTCGATTTCAAATGCACAAGCTATGATCACGGCGTAAATATAAATATACCCATTTTCTTACCGAAATCAACCCGCCGAACCGGCAATCATCCCCGAGTTTTCATTCAAACAAAATATTTTAGCTGTCGAGTCCATCATGGTGTCCATCTTATGTTGTTTAAAATAAGACTAGATCGAGCCCTCTTTTTCGGGCCCAACCATCTACGGAAGAGGGGCTAGAATTTGCCTCTGTACCTATATTAGCCGGTGAGTGCAGTACCTAGACAGGAAATAGTTGGGGCGTGATATCATGGGAGAGATGTACCACACAGGGTGCTTTATTAGAGATGGTTCTCTTTCATTGCTATTAGTGCCCCCACCCCTTAAACTTAAAGAGACCTCGTCAGTATAGAAAGTGCAATCTCGCCATACTAACACTGATGATTGTTGAAAGTCACATCACAGAACAATCTGATGATGTACTTATCGAAGTGGCCGTCCGAGGATCAAAACTAAGGGCCGGGAACAATGCCAGAGTGGATAGTGGCGTCTGAGAGCAACAGCATAGCCAAGTTGTTTCAGGGGAGCAAAAGGAAGTGAATCCTGGATGGCATTTCAGGGATCAATGAATAATTTGGCGCGAACACAGTAGAACCCGAGGTGCGGATTGAAATGTATAGGAAGGGGAGGCAAGGCGTGATGATTGAATTTAGTCCGATGCATCAAGCAGGCTAATTCAGCTGCCCTTCTTAGCCAGGGGACAGACTTGCAGCACGCCATGAAATGAAAGCTTCAGATGGTTCGTATGCTGAACACGTGCAATTGCCCAGAGCCATACAGATTTCCACTTAACGCGACATACATCAGTTAAGCAATAGATAAGGGGCAAAAGGGACCGTCAAGACACGTCTCTAGTCGATTGAAAGAAACCAATTGGCAAACGCAACAAACTTTCTCAATTCCGATAGAAGCCGCATCGACCCCACTCGCTGGACTGACCACAGCCATTACCCCCCACAGACAAGCCGCCCCCTCCGTACCCCTGGCAGCCGCCCTGAAACCAATCGATCTCCTTCCCTATCAAGTTGGCATACAGTAGCACTGACCATCATGAAATCGCAATAGCAGAGAACGGGTCACAGTATGTGAAAGCCCTCATTGTCAAGAGGAAAAGGTGATGCAATTGCGAAAATTGGCAATGGTCAAAAAGAATTTAAACACCAGACTTCATGAAGCCGGCCACCTCATCACTCGTCGTGCGGTCGACTACGTCATCAACGCGCAAACAACAGACGTGCTGACGAAAGCCACTGGCCTTTGGTAGACGGATAGATTTTTTATGTCTCATGAAAGCATTTTGACCTCCCTGATGCTTGGCTTTTAAGGGTAATGGACACTTGGAGTTTCTGATATTTGTGTGTAGATATTTTATCCGCGATTTGCAGCTGGAAGAGCTCCGTGCATCTTCATAAAAATCGGACGGGTTGGCAGGAACGGTGCAGCCGGCATTATCGGGTTTGAAGGCTGAGAATGAAGCTGGAATGGTGTATTCGAACTTTGCAAAATTGGCAATCGATGCCGATGCTCCCAGAATAGCTTCAATGACAGTCAGTAAGGGCAATTTATCAGACAAATTCTGTGATCTGAGATTGTTCTCAACCTTTGTAATACAGCCGTAGTTATATTGGATTGTGGGTTCATTCTCATAACATTCATCCACAGCAAGGAGAGCTTGTATGCGGGAAAACTCGATATCACTCAGAGACGAGGTAATTTTTGTTTCCTCTTTTGGAGCTCTGATGACAGGCAAAAATGCTCTCAACAGAATAAAATAAAACTAAAATGACGGCCAATGGCGCGGTGCTCCTGATTATAGCAGAGCGCGAGATAAAACACTAGAAGTTAGTTTCATGACGTTTGCTACCAGGATGAACCTTCACCAAAGTTAGTTACATGTCAAAAAAAAGAGTGCGCTTGGTATCAAAAATAGAACTGATGACGCTCCATCCAGCGCTTCAAACCTTCGAGTCCATAAACGAAGCAGGTCAGGCCATCAGGAATTAGACAAGTGCATATCTGGGCGAGATCTCCTTTGGCGCCGGATTGCCATGTGTGCTTTGTTTGACGGCCTAAGCGGTCGATCGCTCTCAACCAGCCATCCTGGGTCTTGGGTCGTCGCTCTAAACAACCTCCCTGCAGCACTAAGCGTTGGGTAATCGCATACAAGGACCAATGGATCCAAGTGCGGGAGACGTGATGGGGTCCCACAGCGCTTCTTGTGCCGAACGCCAGAACTCAAAAAACCAGCTTGATACTGCTGAATCTGAATGTTGGTTGGGCGGCAGACAAAGGCAGGGATTCCATTGGGCAATGTCATTATTGTTCTCGTTTGCTTTGTTTATGTTGTTCGTTTGCCTAATGGAGACACGGAAACTATCTTTCTACCGGGTTCAGGTTTGAGCCAGCGGCAATTCGCCGTTGGGTGGGAAGCTTATTGCACCTGGAGCCTTGAAGTACTTATTTGAAATAGGTCTGCCCTGGGTCCCAAGCGGCTTACTGTGCAGAAGACGTTGACAAGAAAGAACTGGGGAGAGAGTGAGTGAGCAATGGTTGAAGACCCCTGGAACACGGATATTTCTAGTGCAACTCTAAGGTGAAACTGCACCAAGCAACTGCCTGACAGCCAAAGCAAGCAGGACACTGGGGGTGGTTAATTACCATGCTTGCTTGGCCCTTTTGTTCGCTTGTCCACGACATCCCATATCTAGTTGCCGTCGGACGTCTTGTTCTCTTCTCTCCTCCTCCTCTCCTCCCTGCCACTTAATGAACGAGAATATCCCACCGCATGCGTAAATAAATAAATAAACGGTGAATGCGACAGACAGAGGTCGTTGTTGTCCGTGTCACCTGACCTGGAATCTTAACTTTGACCTTGATAATCGTCAACTTGACTCCGCCACTTGTTAACCTCCTCCAACATTTCTTGTCTGCAGTGCATCGAAACACCCTGTCTGAACCTCTGGGCCGCTGCTCACTAATCAGTCATTTATTGTCACTCGCTCTTCTCCTCACTTTTACTACCCTCTCTGCCTCCCTGCCTCCCTGCCTCCCTGTTCCCCCTTTTCTCGCTATCTCAATCCTACATTGTATCATTACCACATCTACTACCCCTGTGCTTGTTTCCTATCGATGTTGATGAAACCGCAAAGCACCTGAAACGTCAGCTATCGGGCCCTGGCATCTCTTTGATTTAAAATTACCCTTACAAGAAGCCTTTCTTTCGCAGTATTAATTCTTTCCTACCATTACTTCTTCTGCAATCCAAAAAAGTCGGACGCGGAAGTTGGGGCATTTTAAACCCATCCCACGATCATACGAAATCCTTTCAAGATGATGGTCAACAAGAAACTCGATCGCTTTAAGCAGTGGGCGGGGGAGCGCATGGGTTCAGAAGCGAAAACCAATGTCTCAGATGACTTTAAGGCGCTGGAGATGGAGATGAACTTGAGACATGAAGGTGAGGGACTGAAGAACACGCAGATGGCTAATCTAATACTCTGCTGTACTCTGCTAACTATTGCCGTGCTTGGTTTCAGGGATGGAACGACTCCAAAGATCAATGACAACTTACATGAAAGCTCTGTCCAAGCGGAATGAAGGAGACGATAAGGAAAAGACTCTTCCAGTCGGATATATGGGTGGGGTTATGGTTAGCCACGGAGAAGACTTCGAAAGCACTTCAGAATTCGGACAGTGTCTTATCGGTGAGTGGGATTCCTTTCTCAGTTGTGGCGGGAAGATATTGATTCCTTGGTTCTAGGCTTTGGGCGGACAAATGAACGTATTGCGAGGATCCAGGAGACTTACATATCAAATGCGACTAGCAGCTGGCTGGAGTCGCTCGATCGATCACTTGTCCAAATGAAGGAGTATCAGGTATGGGCGTCTCTCTAGATTTAAATGTGGGATGTACCGTCCGATGTGACTGACAATATGTGTTTTTAGAACGCGAGAAAGAAGCTGGAAACCCGTCGGATCGCATATGATGCTTCCCTTACGAAGATGCAAAAGGCGAAACGGGAGGACTTCAGAATGGAGGAGGAACTTAGAAATCAGAAGGCAAAATACGAGGAGTCCACTGAAGACGTCTATCGGCGCATGGAAGACATTAGAGAAGCTGAAGCAGACAGTATCGCCGACCTTGCGGCCTTTTTGGACGCTGAACTCAACTACTATGATCAATGTCGAGAACTTCTATTGCGACTGAAAAACAACTGGCCTGCAGGGTGAGTCTTCACTGAGAATCGACCGCCCCCACTTCCCCTCTTGCAACGTTGAACGTCACACTAACTTTAATGATACAGTCAAACACAGTCGCAAGGCGGCTTATCCAGACGGCCTGGCCGCAATCGGTCAAACACAGCACACTCATTTCACGATCGATATGAACCTGTGCACAAAGAGCCTGTACCAGTCCTATCCCCAGAATCCCGTCCAGCCATCAAATCCAACCGGTCCGCATCCACGTACCAAACTGCATCCCCACCCAGAGGCTACTCCGCCGATTCATACCAACAGAACCTGCAACAACAACAACAACCAGTACCACGACCCATAAACCGCACCTCAACGTTCGACGGATTCACCCACCAGCCGCGATTCGACGACTCGCCAGCACAGCGTAACAGCCGCAACACCCAACTACAACTCCGAACCGCGACCGCGACCGGCACCGACACCGGCACCAGCAGACCCCACGAACACTACCCGGAGTCACCCGATGACGCATCCTTCGGCAAGGGAAGTAGTCCCGACCGATACTTCCCTGCCGGCCGACCTATTTCTCCCGCGACGTCGAATGGCAGCGTGATGTCGCGTGCAGCAAGTATGACGATGGTACAACAGGCTGCGGGAAGCTCGGTGAGTACGATGGGTAAGAAAGGGCCGCCGCCGCCACCGCCGTCGCGAGCTAAAAAGCCGCCACCACCGCCGCCTCCAGGCAAGAGGCATCTCGTTGGTGCTGGGAATATGTGATTTTACTTATTTTTTCCTTTTTTTTTAATTGTTGTTGTGATAGTTCTTGAAAAGAAATGAACTGACGAAAGTTGAATGCCCCGTTTTGGTAATGAATGTTGAATGTTTGTTTTGCTGGTATCAGATCGAATCTCTTAATGTCTTCCATGTGCGCAAGCTTTTCCCTTTTCAATTTTCTCACCCACACACACACTCTCTCTCCCTCTTTGCGCGACTGTCGCTATAATGTTTCTCAGCGTCGATCGCTTTTTTCTCTCACTTCGTCTGCTGCGTTTTGTTGAATATCGGTGTGCGGGTATCGGTTTCGTCAAAAGGTTCTGTTCTTATTATGTCTTTGGCGGGTTTACCCATGATTTTCCTATCTCCATTTTTCTTTTTTTGTTACGTGCATCTCTCACGAAGACACCTGGGTTGTTTTTACCCCTTAAGTTTCACGACTCTTTCCTTTGTTTTTAAGGCTTTTGGTCCTCTTTTGCCGGCTCTAGTTATTCCTTTCCCCCCTATTTTTTAAAAAAAGAGAAAACTAACTCAAAATCATCCGTTTGTCTAAAGATCCCAGGTGGTTTTCTTTCTAGATGAGGGAGTACGATAATTTTTCATTGGGTGTTTGTCATTTGCTTTTTCTTTCCTTGCCTTTTGTTTTTCCTTTTTTGCCTTGCAGTATGATAAAAGTTGAAAGGGAAATGGAAAGGGAGGTGTTTGTCAACCTCTCCTCCCCCTCTAATATTGAATCAAAAACGGATGAGAGATTCTCTATCTCCCTTTTCCAACTATTGGCTCTGTAGGTTGCCCAAGTTTTAGAGCAATTCATAATCGTATCAAAGTGCAACAAAGAGAAAACAGCAAAAAACCCGGGCCCTTTTATTTCGCCGTAAAAAGGAAAGTAAAGAACGGGTGCATAGGTGTATATGCGACAGTTAACAACCTGGCGACTGAAAGAATAAACCTGCGGGAGTCGTTCCAGAGAATAGGAAAAGGTACAACCAGAACAAAAAAAAAAAAAAAAAAAAAAAAAAGAAGGAAAAGAACGACAGATGCCCAAATCCCACCACTTGATCTTACCTTCTCTCCTCCTCATCCCCCCTCCCTCTCCCTCTGCCTCACAGCTTTCGCCTCCGCCTCCTCCGCATACCACTGAAGCACCCCCAGTACACATTCCATGCCCCTTCTATAAATCGTAGGCAAGAAAACCTCCATCTCATCCCCCCAAAACACCAAATCCCTCCGCCCAAGGCCAGACCTCATCATCGCATGCTGAATCCTCGAAATCGTCTTCCCAGCCTGCGTCGCATCCAGGATCAGCGCCAGCGAATAATGCAAGCGCAGATAGGACGGGTTAGGCAAGACGAACACACCCCCCTCGGGCGGTCCCCGACCGAACAGGATCCTAGAATCCTCCGGCGCGGACAAGGTGTTGGGCGGGTAGAAATTGGCGACTTTGCGCAGGCGGTAGGAATGCTCTTCTTCGTGGTAGCCTGGGACGGAGAAAGAGAATTGTGGGTTTCTTTGGCGTTCTGGGTAGATGGACCAGCGGTATTGTTCGAAGAGGGTGGAGACGGTTGTGGAGAGCATGAGGGTGTTGTCCATGGCATCGATGTTTTCGGGGGAGAGGTATTCTGGGCGGATTTGGCCGCCAGTGAATTTGCTGATGAGAGTTTTTACGGTTTTGTTGTAGGATATTCGGGGTGGGATGATGTGGACGGCGGCTAGGGTGCCCTGGAGTTCTACGTTGGTTGCGGTAAAGGTGTCGTAGATGCCGGTGACGGGGCAGCGGTTTGAGTCTCGTTGCATCACCTTCATTTTGGCGGATTGTGTGTATGGCACATGTATATATTAACGATTGATGTTCTTTCCTTTTTGACACCCCGCTCTTCCCCCGCAGCCCCGAGTTGACAGTTACTTACAGAGTGCCTTATGTCTGCCATTATCGACCAATACTCCGGCAAGTTGCCCAAGAGCTGCCTGTCCATCACTAGTTATATCTTTTGGTCAATATATATTTTACCAATAGTGCAAGATATGGGAGGATCCCCTTCCAAGCTTCCAAACAGCAGAACTAACTCGGAAACAAGAGATTCAAACACCAGAACCGCGCCCACGAAACAACGGCTTCCTTCGCCTCGTTCTTCATCGTCAGCTTGTGCATGACGGTGTCAACATCCTCCTCCATTACGTTAACATCGACCCTCTCAAGCACCCGGATGAGATCTCCTGCGATGGATCTGGGCGAGATAGCCCAGTCCAGGAAGGCGATGACGAATGCGGTGGTGCTGATCTTGTCTGGTATGGCTGTAGATATCTTCAGGTCTTGGATGACGGGGCCCATACGGTGCAGGGTGTTGAAGATTTCCCTGAGGCGGACGACTGCGAATTCGAGGTAGACTTCATTTTTAGGTACCATTGCCTTTTTTGCGGTCCTTTTGTTCGCAGGCTTGGTTATGACGAGATGAGAAAGGGGTTTCTTTCTTTCTTTCTTTCTTTCTTTCTTTCTTTCTATCAACCCTACAGTGATCACTTCAGTTGCAGGCGAGTAAAAGAGTGCCCTTTTCCGAGAAGCGGGAGTTTCAGCTGTGTATCAATGAGTGGTATATATTGTGGATTGGGTATAGAGAGTAGAAATGGGCGTGATGTGGGAAGAGAAAATGGATAAAACTTGGGGATCTGTGATGTGTATATATCTTAATGTAGCAGATATTCCCCCAAGAGGTCCGACTTCGCACTGCTCCATCCGATGGTCGAGCATTCCATATTGAAGAATTGAGTGGAGCGGAGCTTCAGGATGGGAAGCAGCAACAGCGTCATCCATCCCACCGGAGGTCAAACAGGGAAACGACACGCCCAGCAGTGAAAGCAACGGGTTTTGCTTCTCCTTCTCCCTCTCCCTCTCTCTCTCTCTCTCTCTCTCCCTCTCCCTCTTCCTCTCCCTCTCCCTCTCTCTCCCTCTCCCTCTCCCTTTTCCTCTTCCTCTTCCTCTTCCTCTTCCTCTCCTTCTCTCTCTCCCTCTCCCTCTCCCTCTTCCTCAGTTGGCTTTTTGTCTCTAGTTATCCAAGACCAGTCAACTGGAAGACTGATATCTGGTAGAGGTGAGGTATCAAACGGCGGGAAATCTTGGACCAGGCCATTCCTGCGATAGGCTGGTTGAGATTGATCTGTCCAAAAACTCAGAGGAGGGGATTAGGAGCAGCCAAACATCATGCGCAGTAAGCAAGAACGTAGGTTAGTGAGTGAACTCCAGCTGTATACCAATAGTTGGCCACCAGAAGTATACCAGCCCGCTGCCTCTCTCTCTCTCTCTCTCTCTCTCTCCCCCCGGGACGTTGAAGCCCGGCAGATGAGGTCAGGTGCTCATGCCAAGCTCCGCTGACTCATCCGCTCCCGGCCTAACCCTAATCCGGCCTAGTCCAGAGCCCAGTTCCAATTTTTCCGGCTGAGTCAGCGCCCACCCGGTCACGGGACAGCGCCCTTCTCGCCCCTTCAAACCGCTTTTTCAGCCTCTTCCTTCGCTTTCAGTGTCCAGCCAAGTCTCCCGTTTCTTCTGATCTCACCTCCCGCCCCAGCGTCGCGACAAACTCTCCCAGTATCAAATCATCGTCTCCATCCCTCCGCTGCCGCCCTACGCGCCTCAACGCGCCGCTGCTCGTTCACTCCGCCTGGATCCACCCCCATCTTCCGCTCTCTTCCCCCCTCTGCCTCCCTTTTTGCTTGTCACCTCTATTCTTTTGCCTCTTATTTTATCCGCCTGGGTCTCATTCCATCAAAATCTCTGGCCTCTCCCATCCGCCAAGCATCGCTGCAGTCCTCCGGTCGTCCCGCTCCGCACCCCAGACCTTCCTTTTTTCTTCCACAGGCCTGGCTCAGGCCGCTTGTCTGTCGCTACACCTTCGCGACCCTCTTGTCGCCCACTTTCGTCCTCCCTTTTCTCCTCCCCCGTTCCCCCGAAACAAACAGCCTCCTCCCTAGGCAACGCCTCGCAAAGGGCTGGCTCCGTTTAATGTCCTCAATAACCCCCCCCTGACACCATGGCTTCTATTCAAGGTGTCCCAAATACGGTGGCCACGCCCAATCTCAGCCTACCTCCCAACCTCACACAGCAACATGTGCAGGAGGTCTATCATGTTCGTTGTCCCTCACCCTGACCCTGACTAATCGGCCCCCCCCCCCCCAACTATGGATTTATTTTATTATTATAAATTCTCATTTATTAGATAAACGCCTAATGCACCCCATATCCCATCAACATCTATCTCTTATGTACCCAAGCTAACGTTTTTAAAAGAAATTTCGCCAGATGCAAGAGCAGGGCGTGCGCCAGGACGATCCAGAATACATCAAAGCCCATAATCTCCTGGCTCTCGTCCAAAGGCAGCAAGCTTACCAGAAGCAACGCCAATTTGCACATCAGCAGCAGCAGCAGCAGCTCCAGACCCAACGACTGCAACATGCGCAACAACAGCAACAGCAACAGCAACAGCATAACCAGCAACAGCAACAACATCAGCATAACCAGCAACAGCAACAGCAACAGCCACAGCAACAGCAACAGCCACAGCAACAGCAACAACATCAGCATCAGCATAGCCAGCAACAGCAACGATCACAACATCAGCAGCAACCGCAACTGCATCAACAACAGCAACAGCAACAGCAACAGCAGTCGCAACAACCCAATGGCATCCCCAACGATAACCTACCCAATGGTGTTGATGGTAATCTCCCGTGCCATCTCGTCGCATTCTCGCCTCAAGATGAGAATTTTTGCTAACCATTTCTTCTCTGCATTTGATTAGGTCGAATTGGACCAATGAGCACCATGTCTGGCGGCTCCAGTCAGGACCCCGCGGCTGCCGTCTCCGCTGGACCACAGTCCAACTCGGTAACTCAACAACAAAGCAATGCTGTCCCATCGAAGGGTGTATCTTCAACTGGAGGCACCTTCTCGCCGGAACAGTTGACCACGCTGAGAAATCAGATCCTTGCTTTCAAGATGCTCTCCAAGAACCTTGCTATACCACCGCGCGTTCAGCAACAACTTTTTGCTAAAAAGTTCCCGCCTGCAACCACTGATGGTATTGCGATGTCAGAGAACGTTGATAACGTTGAACAAGTTCGGGAAAGCCAACCTACTCCATCTGACGAAAAGGCAACTGAACCGAAGACGATGTACGAAACGTTTGAATCTCCATACAATGCCCTTGCTGAGACCATCAACTACGCTGATCATGCCTTCAGAAGGAATAGACGTAGAATTCCCAGCCTCATGCCAATGGGTATTGATATTGAAAAGGCCAAGGAGGATCAAGAAACTGCTTTGTACAATCTAATAACAGCCCGAAAGGCGGAGTTAGGAAAACTGCCTGCAAACTTGGGAGTCTGGAATACAGATGAGAGTGATACCCCGACTGGAGACGATTCTATCAAGCTCAAGGCCTTGATTGAATACAAGATGTTGAATCTGTTGCCGAAACAGAGACTCTTCCGCAAGCAGATACAAACAGAGATGTTTCACTTCGACAATCTGGCAATGACAGCGAACCGGGCTGGTCATCGTCGCATGAAGAAACAATCTCTTCGTGAAGCCAGAGTTACTGAGAAACTTGAGAAGCAGCAACGAGACGCGCGAGAATCGAGGGAGAAGAGGGAGCAATCTGAACAGCTGCAAGCCATTCTCAGTCATGGTCGCGAAGTCCAACTTGCAGCAAACCAGCAACGCATACGGATTCAGAAACTAGGACGCCTCATGATGAAACATCACCAGGACATGGAACGTGATGAACAGAAGCGTGTAGAAAGAACTGCTAAACAACGTCTGCAGGCTTTGAAGGCGAACGATGAAGAGACATACATGAAACTGCTTGGCCAGGCCAAGGATTCACGTATTTCTCACTTGCTTAAACAGACTGATGGCTTCCTCCGACAACTCGCTGCTTCCGTCAAAGAACAACAGAAAAGCACTGCTGAAAGATACGGTGAAGAAAATCGATTCGATGATGACGAGTCAGAGATTGAAGATGACGATGATGAGCTGGAGGAGAGTGGTAGGAAAGTTGACTACTATGCTGTTGCCCATCGTCTGAAGGAAGAGATCACAGAGCAACCCAGCATACTTGTTGGCGGCACTTTGAAAGAATACCAGATCAAGGGCCTCCAGTGGATGATCTCACTCTATAACAACAACCTGAACGGTATATTGGCAGACGAGATGGGTCTTGGTAAAACCATCCAAACCATAAGTTTAATCACTTACCTGATCGAGAAGAAAAAACAAAACGGTCCGTTTTTGGTTATTGTTCCGCTCAGTACCCTTACCAATTGGAATCTTGAGTTCGAAAAGTGGGCACCCTCTGTGAGTCGTATCGTGTACAAGGGTCCTCCAACTACGCGGAAACAGCAGCAGCAGGCGATTCGATGGGGTAATTTCCAGGTTTTGTTGACGACTTATGAATATATTATTAAAGACCGACCCGTCCTAAGCAAGGTTAAGTGGATTCACATGATCGTTGATGAAGGTCACCGCATGAAGAATGCCGGGTCGAAATTAAGTAGTACTTTAACTCAATATTACACGACCCGCTATCGCCTAATTTTGACTGGTACTCCTCTGCAAAACAATCTTCCCGAACTTTGGAACCTTCTAAACTTCGTCCTCCCGAACATCTTCAAGTCTGTCAAGTCCTTCGATGAATGGTTCAACACGCCATTTGCCAATACAGGAGGACAAGACCGTATGGACCTGACAGAAGAAGAACAGTTGCTCGTTATTCGACGACTGCACAAGGTTCTTCGTCCGTTCCTGTTGAGACGTTTGAAGAAGGACGTGGAGAAGGACCTCCCGGAGAAACAGGAACGAGTGATTAAATGCCGATTCTCTGCGTTGCAAGCCAAGCTCTATAAGCAACTCGTCACGCATAACAAACTGGTGGTTAGTGATGGTAAAGGTGGTAAGACTGGTATGCGCGGATTGAGCAACATGCTCATGCAGCTCCGGAAACTTTGCAACCACCCCTTCGTATTTGAATCTGTAGAGGACGAAATGAATCCAGGAAGGGCTACAAATGACCTGATCTGGCGGACGGCTGGTAAATTCGAGCTATTGGATCGGATCCTGCCTAAATTCAAAGCATCGGGCCATCGCGTATTGATGTTCTTTCAAATGACACAGATTATGAATATCATGGAGGATTTCTTGCGGCTTCGTGGCATGAAATATCTTCGTCTGGATGGCTCCACTAAGTCTGATGACCGATCAGATCTATTGAAGGAGTTCAATGCCCCCGGTTCGGAATATTTCTGTTTCCTCCTTTCTACTCGTGCGGGTGGTCTCGGTTTGAATCTTCAGACTGCAGATACAGTTATCATCTACGACTCCGATTGGAACCCGCATCAGGACTTACAGGCGCAGGA